AGACAAACAAAGAGACTTTCGGAGGGACATGTAGTTTCCACATACATACAAATAGTTTTTGTCTTTCATTAGTTGTCCTCTGTGAAGTTAAGAGTTTATATGCAGACTTTACTGAAAATTCTCTTGACGGTTCAAGCTTCCAATACCAGTAGTCATTCTTCAACTTCTTCATGGAGAAGGTATTTAAGATCTGGTGTAGTGTCAAAATCTGATTTGCCTCCCAATCAAACCTCTCCCTCCTCCACCTAAACTCCCAAACCCATGTGTCATCTACCCACTCCCCATTTTGTGAACTGTATCCTGTTTTTGTTCAGAAATTAAGAATAACCTAGGATATAATACAACTAGGCATTCCTCGCCAGTCCACTTGTCCAACCAAAGCAGAGTTTGTTTTCCTTCCCCCATTTTCCAATCCTTCGAATTATCAAACCACTTGTCTTCATTATCGGCTCCACAAGCCTTAAGCACATCCCTCCACCAAATTGAAGCCTTAGTATTGTTGTAACCTGTGCACAAATTAGGCCGATCAGCACCATACTTTGATAACAACACATGTGCCCACGTTGAATCAGGATTATGAAAGAGATTCCACCTCCATTTTGCCAGAAGAGCTACATTAAAGGTTGCAATATTTTTTATTCCAAGTCCTCCCTCCTCTTTTGGCCTGGTAACTTTTTCCCATCTCACCCAAGCTATCTTCCTTATGTCTTCTGAGTACTCCCATAGGAACTTCCTCTGAATAGAGATAATTTGTTTTACCACACTCTTTGGAGCTCTAAAAAAAGAGAAATAGAAGAGTGGCAAGGAAGTTAGGATAGAGTTGATTAAACATACCCTCCCTGCCATGGAAAGTGATTTGTGCTTCCACTTTGCCAACTTCTTGTTATACTTACTAATTATACGTCTCCATGTCTCTATTCTCCTCGGATCTGCCCCTAATGGGATGCCCAAATAATTGAAATCTACATAAGTACCTTTTCCTTTCTAAGGGAGGTTAATAGGTAATTTACCTTTAAACTAGTATAAATTACCAATTAACCAAGGTTTACACTTTAATATTTATGAAGGAAAATTCTCCCCTAGCTTGCTGCAAACCCGCAGTACCTGTGCCCATGTTAATATAACAAATTTGCACTTCGCTCTCCTGCAAAGCCGACTAGGGGCTCCGTGTGAGGTTGAATGAGAGAGTGGGGGACGTCTAGCTTTAGGAACGTAGGCCAGTACAGGACGTCGGTCGAGCTTCCCTAGTCAATGAGCGTTTTCTGTACTTTCCAGTTGGCTATCTCCACAACGATGACCATGGGGTCATCTTGGTTAGGGCTGACGCCGGCGTAGTCTTCGTCGGAGAAGGAGATCGGCGGTGAGCTTTGGTGGGGGGCCGAGGTGGTGGAGTGGGCGCAGTTGATGCTCCGCAGGTGTCTCCTTCGGGCCGAGCTGCTGGCGCCTCCCCCCGCAAAGCCGCCTGCAATTGTGTTGATTACTCCCCGTAAGGGAGCCGACTCCGTCTCTTGGCTTATCTCGGCTTGTACTGGGCCGCTAGCATTTGGCTGGGAGCCCGGGTGTGGGTCAGTGCGAGCTCCTGAACCGCGACCTCTGCCGCGTCCCCGACTGCCATAGCCGCCTCTGTTACCCTATTGTCGCTGGACATACTGGCCGAGGTGACCCGCTTGAATGAGCTCCTCGATGCGTTCCCGGAGTGTGCGACATTCCTCCGTGGTGTGACCATGGTTCCTGTGGTACCGGCAGTGCTTGGACTTGTCGGCGCTGCTAGGAGTGTGACCCGGTGGTGGAAGGGCGAGCAGGTTGTTGTTGCTGGCTTCCTCCAGGATGTGCACCCTAGGTGCGTTCAGGGGAGTGTAGAAGTCGTATCTCCCCCCTCTGCTTGCCCTAGTCGACTTCTTGAATTGGCTGTCGTTGTTGACCTTGATTTTATCCTTATGCCCTTGTTCCGACTTTGCTGGAGCTTTCCCGCGAACCTGGTCGCGGAAGGCGGAGTGCTCCTCCATCTGGATGTATCCGGTCGCGCGGGCGCGGAGCTCGTCCATGTCGCGGGGGCGGGGGTCTCGGCAGAGACTGTCGACAAAGGGGCCGGCTTTGAGGGCCATGAGCATGGAGTGCAGGGCGACCTCGGGGTTTAAGTTCCGGATCCTCACCGAGATGCTGGAGAAACGCTCCATGAAGGTTCGCAGAGGTTCGTCATCATTCTGCCTGAGGTTGGCCAAAGCAGTGGAGGTTGTGTGGTGAGGTCGGTTGGTAGCGTATTACGCCGTGAACCGCTGGATTAGGGTGCTGAAGCTGTCGATGGACTCGGCGGGTAACTGGGTGTACCAGTGGAGTGCGGCTCCTTTGAGCGGGGTCGGAAAAACCCTACACAGGATAGCATCACTGTTAGTGTAGGGGTTTACCTGGGTTGTGTACAGGTCAATGTGCTCACCGGGGTCCGTCGTGCCGTCATAGCGGTCGAGATGGAGAGGCTTCCATCCGCGGGGGAGTGGGGTTTCCATGATGTCGTCCACAAAAGGATGTCGGCGAAAGGTTTCGTGGCCTTCCGTGGCACGAGTGGGTGCTCTGCTGGCGTCTGCGCCCGACTTGTGCGTCGATGCATGAGATCGGTGTGTGGCGGGCCGTGAGGTCGGTGCCCTAGTCGCCGTCCGGGATTGAGAGGCCGAGTGTGCCTCGTCCTCATGGATGTTGCTCTCGTGAGGAGGGCGATCAGAGGGGCGTCGAGGGAGTTGGACGCGAATGCGCTCGTTTTCTTCGCGTAACGCTGCGAGGTCTGCTTCGTTGGCTGTCTGCATTGCCGCTAGGTCGGCTTCGTGCTTGGCATGCATGTTGCGCAGGTCAATGTCATGCTGCTGTCGCATCTGTTCGACTTGGTCGATCAGTCTTCTCAAGGCTGCAGCGTCGCTGTCCATGGTGATTGAGTGTTCAGCATCGTCTGTTACTCGTCTGCTATGGCTGCTGGTGAAAACCATACAGGTGGCTGATAAGAGCTGTCTTGATCGGCCCCACAGTGGGCGCCAAATGTTCTTACCGGAATTTGTCGTGTGGACGATCTTCCAAGTAAGATCGGTGAGCCTCCTTCACTGGTACGCTGGTGCTCCAAGATGGGGGTGATACCTGCAAAAGAGACTCTGATGCTAAAGTTAGGGTCTATATGAGTAATAGTCTCGTATATGTAATGCACGTACCTTGGTGTGATTTAGGGTTGCTTTTGGGCCTTGGGCCTGAGGTGAGGCGTAATATGATCAGATAACGGATCTCGTATGGGGCGAGATCCTCGGGAATCAGTTATGATTCACCTACATACTGAGCTGATGTCACGCGGCGCGCGTCCGAGGTCGGCTTGCGTTGTAGTGCCGAACTTGGAGCTCGGTTTCGCAGTACGGACAATACAGTTAATTATTGTACAAATTGTTTTAAATTTGAACAATTAACATAAGTTTTTTATTTTAAATTTTCATGTTTAAAATTAATTTTTAATTAAGACTCATTTAACTAAAAGTCCTATAAAGTATTGAGTCCCGAAAATAACAACTTATAGATGTGAATATATGAATTGGATTGAGACTTATTTTTGTTCAACCTTAATCTAATTATTTGGTCGAACCAGTTTTTAAAATTTAAATTTGACTCGATTAAAATTTGAAAATATGAACAAAATTAGATTAATTCGATTTTATTATACTATATTATTTTTAACTTTTTTGTAAAATTAAATCGTAAAATAAAAATAAATATAGTTTATCTAACTGAAGGTAAATTAAAATCATTTTTTTCTCTTCTTTAAAACTCTAAACTCATATTACAAAATCATTTAAATTTCATAAAAACAATCTATTCTTTCAAATAATTGGCTATCTTGTAAAAAAACATTATTGACTATCTCAAATCTATCCTAAATATTTAGTCTTCAATCATTAATCATAATAATTGAATCAAAATATAATTTACTCTTTTATTTGATTAATAAGATTTTGCATTTAACGTCATTCCATAATTAATAAGCATACTAAATATATATTGCTTTGTTAATGTAGTGCATTATTTAAAGATGAGTCAACATTATGATCGGATTTGACGTAGTTCTGTGTTTGCTCAACTTCCAAATTCAAGCTTGTCACTCACTTGCCACTTGCAACGCACTCTTTTCTGCTAATAGCGTATAATTCAAGCCTTTTGTGGCAGTTCTTTATTTTTTGAACAAGAGTTTAATATTTTTTAATTTATACAAATATAACCAATTTTGATTATAGTTCTTTAACTTTTACCGTTGTTGATTTTTATAAATTTTAAAAATATTTTTATCATCACTTATCGAACACGTGACATATACATTATAAAAAAATTATTATATAATAACAAATATTTTATATTAACACAATATTTATTATTAAAAATTATTTTTAGTTCATTTCGTGGCTTCTTTATTCAAACTCAACTCACATTACATATAATTTAGAAAACAATCAATAATTGAAATTAACTAATATCGAATATTTTGATTAATGTTTTTCTATTTTATGTGTTTAGTGAGTAATTAAAAAAGGGTTTGAAACATCCCTTTTGTTAAGCACTACATTAGGAATTATAATTTCCTTATATTTTTAAATATTAGGGGTGTATATTTGGTGTCCTTTTATAAATTCACTTATAAAGACTTTGACACTCAAATGTGTTAAAGATGAAATGTTAGTGCACCCTATATTATCTATTCCTGATACAAATGAGAGGCCTAAACACATGACCAGAAGGTCACTAAAGCTCAACGATTAAACAATGGAGGAAATTGAGCTTTAAATTAATAATAGGTCCAATTGGCTTTTAGTAGACAAATTAAGTTTCAACATTTTATTTTTTGTTACAATAATTATTTTCCCTAAATCAGTGCTCTAAACATGTAGGCCTTAGAGTTATTGACTCTTTTTTGTTATAGTGGTTGTACTGCAACTTGATGGTTATGAAATGAGTATCTTTCTTAGCATTAGCCAAGTGTAGTAACCATTTTTCTCTAGCAATCCTCTATTATTTGGTGCTTTCACCTACCCCCGTGCCTCCCCGATCTTCTAAAGAAGATAAACATGTTAATAACCTCTCCACAAAATTTCAAGATCTGCAATCACAATTTGAATCCCAAGTTCCAACCTGGGTCTTGATATTCTACCATGCAATCTGAGATCGCCCAAAATCAAGATTCACTATCCTCCATCATGGAAACCCTACATGCTCATTTTGGGAATCCAGGTTCATCTTCCACTGGACCCTCTATCTCTTCATCTCCAATGCACATCGTTGACAATAATTTTAGTTCCTATATTCCCCCTATTTCACTACCATATCAATTTTCCCCACACATTATGTATTTTGACCCATCTTACCCTAGAACCCCACCTATTTTCACTAACCATACTACTGTCACAGTTGCTGGCCCCAATTTTTTTGGCCATGGTAACTCTAGCGTTCCTTATTCTACTACAATACCTTCATCCCTTCCATCTATTACTTCCATCATGATACCTCCCAATTCATCTACCTTTACCCACCAGACCCCACCTCCACCTCCTTTCCCTAACTCACAGATTCGGCCCCCTAAACTGCATCTATTGTTGTTTGATGGTTCAACAACTATGGACTGGCTTTTTTAGGTTACAAAAATGCAAATTTGCAAGTATCTACTATAATTGTGATGAGAAGTTTCATGCAGGGCATAAGTGTGCAATTTTAAATGTCGAGCCAAGCGAGGCTGTATGATATTGTAAGTGCTATTAGACACATTTGGATTATGTTCTTTAGCCCCTATTGTCTAACCAATTTTATGCCAAATTTTCAAAGTGTGTTTGTTATGAATTCTATGGCCTATCTAGGTCATATTATTTCAGGCCAAGGTGTTCAACCTGATCCAAGGGAGATTCAAGTTATTGGGGTTGGCCTTCTCCATGTTCATTCACAATACTGCACGGGTTCTTAGAATTAAATAGCTTTTATCGTATATTCGTTCATAATTGTGTGCCTATAGTCATTCCTTTCACCAATTTGTTGCATTCTACTACTTTTCAATGGAGTTTACAGGCCCAACAAGCATTTATAGAGTTAAAAGAAAAAATTACATTCGTTCCTGTTCTTGCTCTACTAGACTTCAGCTCTCCATTTGTCATTGAGACAGACGCTTATGGTGGAGTAATAGGTGTAGTTTTGTCCCAGCATTGTCATCCTCTTGTCTTCTTCAATAATTGCCTTTATCCTAAGTTTCAGGTCACGTCAATATATGTTCGAGAAATGTTTGTTGTCACGAAGGCAATAAAAAAAGTGGTGTCAATATTTGGTCAGACAATACTTTCAAATAATCACAGATCAAATGAGTTACCTCCGTTGCTTTGTCAATGATCACCCTTGCGCATGGTATCAATATCTCCATCTAACAGAGTACTGGCACAACACCTCCTTCCACACAGTATTGGCACCACACCCTTTCAAGCTCTATATGGATGTGCGCCTCTTAACCCCATTGATGTGTTGTACGGCCATTCTTCCACGACCATTCAACTCCTCCTACAAGAACACAAAAATATTTTAAAGGAGGTCAAAATGCATCTTTCCAAAGTGCGTCAACAAATGAAACATTTTGCAAACCAGCATCGTCGTGACATTACATTTAAGGCCAGCAATTGGGTTTTGTTAAAGCTTTAGACCTACCAACAAACATCGTTGCAGCGTTGCACATCCCAGAAGCTAGCCAAGAGGTATTAAGGCCCCTTCCAGGTTCACCGCCACATTGACTTGGTGGCTTATGAACTGCTCTTGCCAAAACCCTCACACATTCATCCAATGTTCCATGTTTCGTTGTTGTGCCCTTGCCAAAACCCTCACACATTCATCCAATGTTCCATGTTTCGTTGTTGTGCCCTTATAAGGGAGATGACCCCCTTTGCCAATTGGGACCCGTAGCCTCAAAGGAGTTTTATCCTTCTCTCTCATTGCCTCTCAACATTTTGGAAGGTGGGAAGGCAACTAATGATTCAAACAAAGATAACTCTTTGTTTGGTGGAGCAGATGTCGTTTCTTTTGACCAACCATGTGCCCTTGTCAATAATTCAGCCATTAATGCTCACTTTCTCCCACCTACCTCTTCATCCAAGTCATTGGTAGAAAACACAACTCCATCTCATACGTCCAACTCAACACTGATATGTGGCTATTCTAAAGTGACCAATGACATTGAGGACAATGTCAATTATGGCTAGGCCGATAATGATACAAATGAGATGCCCAAACACATGACCAGAAGGCCACTAAAGCTCAACGATTAAACAATGGAGGGAATTGGACTTTAAACTAGTAATAGGTCCAATTGTTTTTTAGTGGACAAATTAAGTTCTAGCATTTTATTTTTCGTTACAACATTTATTTTCCCTAAATCAGTGCTTTACATGTGTAGGCACTAGAGTTATTGAGTCTTTTCTTTTATAGTGATTGTACTACAACTTGATGGTTATGGAATGAGTATCTTTCTTAGCATTAGCCTAGTGTAATAACGGTTTTTCTCTAGCAATCCTCTATTAGTTCCCCCCTCCCCACCATTTTTAATATTTTTTTCACTTTATTTATCCTTATGTGTGCATGGGTGATGCGTTTCCAACTATCTTTTGCAATTCTAGGACATTTTATTTTATGAAATTATGAGAATAATCAACAACGTTTCGCGTCTAAAATTCACTTCAAATTAGCGAAGTTAAATATAAAAATGTTAAATTAATATCAAATATGTGTAGTCTTATACTATATATAATAGCAATATTCACATACCACAAGACTTTTATCTCTTGTTTTTTTCTTCTTAATTCTATCATATTATATCACTTGTTATTACTAACTTTTATGTTTCAAAACATAATTTATCCTTTAACGACCATTCAAAGCGATCTGACATATAAGAATACCTCGACTCTCGAGTATGTTTGTTAGTTTATACGTAGCACATACATACACACCACGCCACTAACTAGCATTTTCTCAATTCTACAATTTCCCCCCTTAACTTCTATTTTTGTGCCTCGTGAAGCCAAATTAATTTAGACACTATTATAGCGAGTAAAAGTTAAAAGCAAACAAGCTATTTATGGTTTCACCCTAAGAAAATACAAGCCATGAAACAATCTTGAAGACCTCGAACAGTTCATAATTGTTCTATTGAATACTATATCATTTTAATTGTGTAGTATGTGTTTTCAATCCCGAAGGCAAGATAGCTAGAAATTAATTAGGATTGGAGTTGGTAAGAAATGTGTTAGAGGAGTAGTAGATGTTGGCCATTTATGCTTGTTGTTACTAGGACCACAACTCCACCAACCAAGCTAAAAAATATATGTGCTGGAGAATTTTGTGTTTTGAAGGTGAGAGAGAAAGAGAAAGTGAGGGAAGGTAAAAGAGAATGGTGGGAGTGGGAGACATTAATAAGACGGTCCTCAAATTAAAGGCACATGCATAAACACTTTTTTATTTTATTTTTAATTATTTTGAAGTGTTAAGATTATCAAAGTGAATTTAGTCATTTCTAACAAAATTTTCTTCTCATGCAGGAAGAGATAATCGAACTTTTGCTAACATATTTTTAAAGCTTAATCCAATAAGCATTTTGAAACAAGTGAGTTGGTGTTGCCTTCATTTAACACAAACAGAATATGGGCTGGTGTTGGACACCATGTGGGTGTGGGAGAACAGTAACTCAAATTGTTGCCCACATACACACACCACTCTGCCATCACTTTTTAATCTCTTCTGCCACCACCAACACCCTTTCCTAGCCTCTCTCTTTCACAATTAACAAAAAAGCCCACCTCTTCAATTTTTACTTGAATAAACAAATCTACTGTTCATCTTCCTCATAACTTTGAGATTTCATTACTCTTTTTAGAATGTCTCAATTATTTCAGTTACAAAATAAAGAGAAAAGAATGGCAGAAAACAAAAGCCAACATCTCACATTGTTGTTTGTGGCAAGCCGAATACCTATAAGTAAACAAAATTAATCTTAAAATAAAAAATATGATGATTTGAACCCCCCAACTTCTGTCCTCTAAACTCTCAATCCCTCCCCAGAAGAAGGTATGGTAGATTTCGTTTTCATTTTTGGTCCCCTCATATTAAGAGTTACTCTATTTTATATATATATATATATATATGTATGATAGTTAATGTTATTCAAACATTTAATGTAAATATGCCAACCCCACAATTGGTCCAAGAGTTTCTCAGAAAGAACCCAGATTTGAATCTCAATCCCCTAAGACTACTAGTTGACAAAAAGATTATTTAGTTATTAAAAAATGTATAATGTGAATATATGTATTTGAGGAGTTATAGTATATAGTATATAATATATAGTCCAAATAGGATTATCTTCATATGTGGATTTTAGTCGGCAGTAAAAGAGGTAAAAGCTGTGGTTTTCTCTACCAAACACAATGGAAAGTATGTCGACTTTGAAGATTTAAAGCCTAATTATGCTCTGGATTTCATTAAAGTTAGACTTAATTTTTACTTTTAGTAAAGAAGAAGAAGAAGCTATCTTCTCTTGTGCTTGCTAAAAGGGGGAAAACAGAGAGGTAAATTACTAGATCAAATGATACAAATATGTAGATAGCGTGTGAGCTATGCAAGGTTTAGTTTGACCACAACCTACAACATGAAGTCAATCATTGCTTGACACATGCAAGGAATGTTACTCATAGTTTAATCCTTTTTATATCTTTTAATGCCATTAATTATTTTAAGTTTAATTTTTATAAGTTGCTAATGCAAATTTTTAAATTATTAATCAATTATAAATCATTTTAATTGTAAATATTAACGTAACTATAATAAAATAAATGATTTTATTATGTGATAACATGTAACTGAATGAAGTTATAAAACAAATATATATGTACAGTACTATCAATACATTGTATTTTTTTTATACTTATTTTCTCTCTCTTGATCGTAAAAAATAAATGCACTATAATCATAAATTTTTTAATAATATTCTATACCTTTCTTTTTCCCTTCTAACCATTTTCCATAGACAAGGTGCTTTTTGGACAGCGCTTTCATATGCAAAGAGGAAACAAATAAAAACAAGACATGCTTTTCTCTCTCTTCAACATGTTTCCATCTGTTTTTGAGTTGTAATTTACTGTTATTACGTTGAAATTAAAGGATTACGTGAAGTTAATAAACTCTTGTACTTCTTTCATTATTCATAATTTTATATTCTTATATATATACTATGAAATAACAAAATATTATATTGTTGAACTGGGTATCCAACCCAGTATAACATCTGTCGTATTTTATTTTATTTTTCTTGGCATGAACATCCTGTGGGTATTTTGTTGAGTTCGATTTTATTCTGTTCTTTTTCAGTTTTTGATCAAAGGAAGATTCTTCTTGACCACTTAAATGCAAACTTATAAGAAACAAAAGAATCATCCTCGGGGGTGAAATAAAGGCATGGAAAAAAGAAAAAGGAATTAAAGGAAGAAGAGAATAAATGTGAAGTGAGTTAGGACCCTAAGAATATATCGCATGTGTAGAAGTATTTTGCACTTGTTACGCCTTGATTGCTCATTATATGTTTCCATGTTATGATGATCTGTATAGTATTTAATTAATTAATATTATTCGCAATTTTTGTACTAGCCCAAGTCTCCACTCACGGACAAATTAACTTGTAAGCGCTATAATTGACCTTTAATATAGCAGAATTATATATAGACATGTCTATGAAACGCGTCAGTTTATTAATATTGGTTATAATATTATTTTTAATAATAATAATAATAGATTGATGTTAACATTTAGCTATCTTCTTAATACTAAAATCGTGAGCTTGCCATAATGTTGTATCCTATGGCATTATGTCTTGATTCGGATACTCCTATCATGTTTCTACTTACTAGAGAAAGAGCTTATTTGTTCTTATCATGTTAGAGTAAATAGTGTTGTAGTTAATAAATTAAAAAAAATCATTTTTCTGTTGTATACAGTAAGAGGTGATTTTGAAATTTTAAAATTGAATATATATTAATATAGAAGGTTTAGTTTATGTTTAATATATATATATATATATATATATATATATATATATAATATTGAGAACTTGTATACATATACAATTCAAGTTAAATTTAGAGTTGTTAAAGCGGGCTAGTGTCTGACTTGTTTGACTCAGTTCATCTCAACTCATTTTTTAAGTGGGTTGGCCTGGTCCAACTCACCAACCTTAATGTCTAAAAAAAATTAACCTGATCTAACTCATCACAGGTTGGTGGGCTAAACGGGTCATCCACCAACCCACCTAATTTTTTAAAATAACTTTACCTTTATCTACAAAAAAATTATATCTTATTAAAATAATACATATATAATAATAAATGATCAAGTGAGTTGTTATAGTGGGTTAGGTTGATGAAAGTGTAAGTAGGTTAAGTGAACAACCCGACCCACCGTTGAACTCGGAATGGATCGGGTCAAAAGTGGATTAGGTTACATTTTTTTAACTTATTATAAAAATTTTCATTTTTCTGTTCCGGCTTGGCCCGTTTTTAAGATGGGTCAGGTTTACTCACAGGTTAAAACTCATTTTAATAGTTCTAATTAAATTTATTATCTACTTTTGAAATATAATAAAATAAGTAATAACTTATATTTGATTTCATAAAAAAAAACTTATATTTAATATTAAATGTTACCATTAATGGAATACATTTCGCGAATTGATTCTTAATTGTTAGTTTTAAAATATTGCATAAATATATCTATGGAAAAAAAATGTTACCAATATAAGTTCACCACTGTGTACCAAAAACTGAAAGAAACAAGTAAAGCTTTTTGAAAAAATATTGATTTTTTTAATAATTCTTTTAAAAGTAATATAAAGTATTTCAATATAAAAATCTATACGTCAACAATGTATTAGTGGAAATAATATATAT